AACATTAATTATCCAACATCTTTATAATTACCTTATTCCCTTTCTCTTCCCTTATCATTTTTCTTTCTCTCCTTTTTTCATTTCCTATTTTTTCTTCCTATCTCTCTATCTCCTTTCTCCTCTCTCTATCTCTCCCTCGTGATGAACTAAGCAACATACGTCTCTCTCTCTCTCTCTCTCTCTCTCTCTCTTCCGCAGGTCAATCAGTCAAATAGGCCCTGTCCTAATAGGCCCTGTCCTAATAGGCCCTGTCCTAATAGGCCCTGTCCTGATAGATCCTTGACATAAAAGACTTTGATACAAACAAACATCAATAGTAAAATAATGTATCTAGTGAAATAATTAAGAGGTGTATATTTACGTAATGGAGTGAATTTAAATATTTATAACTATTGAATTATGTCGTTTAACTTACCTCTGTCTTCACTATTCACGCTGTACACCATTTTTCATACTGTACACTATTTTTCACACTGTACACTATTCACAATGTACGCTATTACAATGTACACTATTACCATGTACACTATTACACTGTACACCATTTTTCACACTGTACACTATTACACTGTACACTATTTTCACACTGTACACTAGTTTCACAATGTACACTATTCACAATGTACACCATTTTTCACACTGTACACTATTACACTGTACACTATTTTCACACTGTACACTATTACACTGTACACTATTACACTGTACACCATTTTTCACACTGTACACTATTCACAATGTACACCATTTTTCACACTGTACACTATTACACTGTACACTATTTTCACACTGTACACTAGTTTCACACTACACTATTCACAATGTACACTATTCATACTGTACATTACACTGTACACTATTCACACTGTACACTATTACACTGTACACTATTACTGACACTATTACACTGTACACTATTACACTGTACACTATTACACTGTACACTTTACACTGTATACTATTACACTGTACACTATTACACTGTACACTATTACACTGTACACTATTACACTGTACACTATTCACAATGTACACTATTACACTGTACACTATTACACTGTACACTATTACACTGTACACTATTCACAATGTACACTATTACACTGTGACTATTACACTGTATACACTTATGTACACTATTACACTGTACACTATTACACTGTACACTATTACACTGTACACTATTCAATGTACACTATTACACTGTACACTATTCACGTACACTATTACGTACACTATTACACTGTACACTAGTTACACTGTAAACTATTCACAATGTAACTATTACACTGTACACTATTACACTGTACTTACTGGCACTATTACACTGTACACTATTACACTGTACATATTCACAATGTACACTATTACACTGTACACTATTACACTGTACAATTATTACACTGTACACTATTCACAATGTACACTATTACACTGTACACTATTACACTGTACACTATTACACTGTACACTATTACAATGTACACTATTACACTGTACACTATTACATGAATTTTACACTACATTATACTGTACACTATTACACTGTACACTATTCACACTGTACACTTTCACACTGTACACTATTTTTCACACTGTACACTATTACACTGTACACTATTACACTGTACACTATTACACTGTACACTATTACACTGTACACTATTACACTGTACACTATTACACTGTACACTATTACACTGTACACTATTACACTGTACACTATTACACTGTACACTATTACACTGTACACTATTACACTGTACACTATTCACACTGTACACTATTACACTGTACACTATTACACTGTACACTATTACACTGTACACTATTCACACGAGTCACTTCACCTAACCTCCTCACTAATTAGTTTTCCTTAACACCTTTAATCACGTGGACAACACCTGTGTCTCCTACCATAAGGGACACTTAACTGAGGTGTACTGTAGCCATGTTGTTAACCTCTTCGGAAATACCCATAGAGTTGTCAATATTAGGGAAAACAACCAATGAAAATGACGGAAAGAGTCCAAGAACCAATCAGAAGCTAGTATGTGGGTTTATAGTGTGACCAAACTAGCTTGAGTGGTGATTATCTGCAGGGCACTTTGAATACACCGTATGCTTATTTTATCTGAAGATTAGACACCCCAGCTTATTTTATCTGAAGATTAGACACCCCAGCTTATTTTACCTGAACATGCGTCACCCCAGCTTATTTTACCTGAAGATTAGACACCCCAGCTTATTTTACCTGAACATGCGTCACCCCAGCTTATTTTACCTGAAGATTAGACACCCCAGCTTATTTTACCTGAACATGCGTCACCCCAGCTTATTTTTAATTTAGATTAGACACTAGCTTATTTTACCTGAACTATGCGTCACCCCAGCTTATTTTATCTGAAGATTAGACACTCTAATGTTACCTGGTGAAATTACACACAATAGGCATCAAATCTCAAGCAGTCTCACCTGAGGTCAAGACGTGGGTCCATCTCCTCCTCTAGTGAGTCATTCATTCCCTGACACGAGCTGTAAATACTGTGTAATTTGTTCAAAGGTTGTAGACCCCCCAAAGAGTTTGGCCTTTTTTTGGTGGAGAGTTTGGCCTTTTCTGGAGGGTTTGATTTTGGGAGAGTTTGCCTTTTTGCTCCGTGTGGCTTCATGCTCAACGATCATGCAGGTAAAGACTAATGACTATAATCCAGGTAATATATCCCCACACCTGAGTCTATTAGCGCTATCCCGCCCCTCTCTGTCTCTCTCTCTCTCTCTCTCTAACAGGTAGCCTCTGGGTGGATCGTCTGCCCTACTTGAATGGTAAGCAAAAGGAACGCCACCATCGTGTCTTGGGCGATGACCTGACTCTCTCTCTCTCGTACGCTTATTATTCAAGCTCTAGGAGGAAGAACAGCTCGTCCGTGAAGCGTCAGGGGCGTTGTGAATGGGTTATGTAGACTTGTTTTGTTGTTGTTGTTGTTGTTGTTGTTGTTGTTGTTGTTGTTGTTGTTGTTGTTGTTGTTGTTGTTGTTGTTGTTGTTGTTGTTGTTGTTGTTGTTGTTGTTGTTGTTGTTGTTGTTGTTGGTATTGTTGTTGGTGTTGTTGTTGTGTTGTTGTTGTTGTTGTTGGTGTTGTTGTTGGTGTTGTTGTTGTTGTTGTTGTTGTTGTTGTTGTTGTTGTTATTGTTGTTGTTAGTTGTTGGAATAGTTGTTGTTGGTGTTGTTGTTATTGTTGTTGTTTTTGTTGTTGTTGTTACAGTTGTTGTTGTTGTTGTTGTTGTTGTTGTTGTTGTTGCTGTTGTTGTTGTTGTTGTTGTTGTTGTTGTTGTTGTTGTTGTTGTTGTTGTTGTTTTTCTCTGTGGTCTAACTCCTTCAATTCCTTCTTCTAATTCTCATCTTCTTCCTCTCCTCCTCGTTTTCTTCCTCTTCTTACTCCTCCTCCTTCTCCCTCGATTATTTCTCCTTCTCCTCCTCTCTCTCTTCTCCTCCTCCTACCTCTGCACACCATCCACCATATCTTTGACCTCTTCACTTAATCATTATTTATCTTCCTTATTTACTTTCCATTATCCACATCATTCCATTTTCTGTTGTGTTTTGCATTTTCAATTTCCATTTCTTCCATTATTTTCTATTCTCTCTTTTCGTTATATTACATCTATTAAACCATTTTTTGTTTAATTTTATTTTTGTCACTTTCTTATTTTTATCGTTAATTAGATACCTTTACACACCTTCAATTAGAATACTAAAAAAAATTAACGTAGAATCCCTTGAGAATCCAAATCATGAACTCTTAATAACCCATAATAACTCTTACTCACCCTTAATAACTCTTAATAACCCTTAATAACTCTTACTAACCCTTATTAACTCTTACTAACCCTTAATAACTCTTACTAACCCTTAATAACTCTTACTAACCCTTAATAACTCTTACTAACCCTTAATAACTCTTAATAACCCTTAATAACTCTTACTAACCCTTAATAACTCTTACTAACCCTTAATAACTCTTACTAACCCTTATATTAACTCTTAATAACCCTAATAACTCTTACTAACCCTTAATAACTTTATAACCTTTTTACTAACCCTTAATAATAACTCTTACTAACCCTAATAACTTTTAATAACCCTTAATAACTCTTACTAACCCTAATGAATTTTACTAACCTTAATAACTCTTAATAACTCTTCTAACTCCTTATTAACTCTTACTAATCAATAACTCTGATTAACCTTTTTTTCTAACCTTAATAACTCTTACTAACCCATTAACCCCCTAATAATTTAATGACCTTACCTGACGGATGACCTTCATTAGTATTCAGATCTGGATGTGTGTGTGTGTGTGTGAGAGAGAGAGAGAGAGAGAGAGAGAGAGAGAGAGAGAGAGAGAGTGAGAGAGGGGGTCACCAGGTAGGAGGAGGCCGCCTAAGGAAGGTCGTGACTCATACAGGTAAATGTAGCACCTGCCGAGACCCAGGAGGGGGAGGAGAGGAGGAGAGGAGAGAGGGATGAGAAGGATGGAGTGACAGAGGAAGAGAGTGAGATGGGGATTACAGAGAGAGGGAAGGAGATAGAACGTGAGTGGGAGAGAGAGGGACAAGAGAGAGAGAGAGAGAGGTAGGGAGAGGGTGAAGAGTGGGAAAGTGAGAGGGAGTGAATGAGAGAGTTAATGAAAAGTAGGGAGGAAGAGGGATAGAAAAGGAAGGAAGGAAGGATGAAGGGTAAAATAACTGTGGATAAGGAAGAAGAAGGGACGGGAGGAGGAGGAGGAGGAGGAGAAGGAGGAGGAGGAAGAGGGAAGGGGGTAGTAAAATGACCTTGTAAGGGGAAGTAAAAACTTTCCCTTTGGCATGTTGAGGGGTAAGGGGGGGGAGGAGGGGTGAGGGGGGTAAGGGGGGAGGAGGGGTGAGGGGGGGTAAGGGGGGGTGTCTGAGTATATAACAGTGGTGCCCCTCTTACACCTCACCACTACCAGACCAACACTCAAACAAACATGTTACCTCAGCTCCTTGTCCTCTTTGGTGAGGTGTTATTCATTTTTTATTCATTGATCTCTTATTAACCTTTTTTTTTCATTATTTAATTTTATTCAATTTTTCATTTTAGTCGTGATTTTTAGCTGTGTGAGATGAGATTGTTTTTTATTTTATTTTTTTTTGGTATTAATTTATATCTAGGTGTTATTTGTAATTAAAATCTATTCACTGTTATTAATTTGTGTTATTCATTATAATTTCTTTCAGATTATAATTTCATTCATTAATATTATTCACTTCTATCAATATGAGGTTATGCATTAATTCGTAACTTATTCATTTTATATTCATGTTATTCATTGTTTTATCTTTATGTGGCTATACATCCATTTAATATACATGTAGGGTTATACATTCTCTCATACATTCATTATATATCTGTAGGTTCATTCATTCTTTTCGTGTATTCGTGGTTAAAATTTATTCATCTTGGTTATTCACTTATGCAGTAGTGTTATTCACGTATGACTTTTGGTTCAGGTTTTATTCACTTATTCATTTTTGTTCAGTTCAGGTGATATATGTGTTTAAGTGTTATACATTCATGTGTGTGTGTGTGTGTGTGTGTGTGTGTGTGTGTGTGTGTGTGTACAGATGTATTCCGCTCAGTATGTGTCGAGGGGATAAGGTCAACCACGGTTAGAGTTACGTCACGGCAGCAGAGTCGAGGTTCTGAAGGGTCGGTGTTGAACCAGGTCACCGGTGCCATAAGTGTGAGTGTCATGGCGGTGCAGGAGGTGGTGGTACCTCAGGTGGCCGTAATGACTCCGGCACACGTGTGAACTCACCACCAACTTCCTCCCTCACGCCACATAATTTTTATTGCAGTCGTGAGCGGTGTCTGCCAGGCGCTCCCTCAGCTGGGTTATGGCGCACCACCGCCACCTTCTGCTGGCTATGGAGCCCCTCCTTCACCTTCCGCCAGCTACGGTGCTCCAGATCTCCGGGCAGCAGCTTCCTCCATCAGTGAACAAGAAGACCCCATAGCCGCCCTGGCCGCCCTCATCCCCGGCGGCGGCGTCCCTGGTGAAGACTACCCGATCCTGGCCTCTGTACCCGACACCGGCTTCTCCTGCGAGCAACAGGAGTTCCCAGGTTACTTCGCTGACACCGCCGACGAGGCAGGCTGCCAGGTCTTCCACATCTGTCAGTTCGACGGCCGCCAGGACTCCTTCCTGTGTCCCAACGGCACCATCTTCAACCAGCAGTACTTCGTGTGTGACTGGTGGTTCAACGTGGACTGTGCCGCCTCACAACAGTTCTTCGGCCTCAACGCTGAGATCGGCAAGATCCCTGAGGACAACATCGCTGCCTCCTCCGACTTGTCTCTGGCCACCGCCTACGGCGCCCCGAAGACACAGGCTCAGGCCCCTTCCCGTTCATACGGTTCCCCTTCCAGGTTTTAGGGGACCGGTCCTATCTCCATCCACTGAGGGGCCCCCACCAGCCTGCCCTATCTGCAGCTAGTCACCAGACCCAGCCCCCCGCCTCCTGCTGCCCATCTGCCCTCCCTGGTCGACCTCCACCTGCCGCTCCCGCCCACAATGCTAATGAGCCCCATCGTGCCCCGTTTAAGTCCCCAACCTCCTCTTCTGAACTTTATCCCAAACCCTCAGTCTTGACCATAACCACTAGTCGGCCACTCACTACACCGCCACCATCACCCGTAACCTCATCCACTGCACAACACTCTCCCTCAGGTGAAGATGTCGTGTTTATGAGGAAGCCTCCCAGAGTCCCGTTCCCTCGACCAACAAGTCTATACTTTGGTCAATTCCACTCTCAACACCATTCTCATTTTCATTCGATAAAGTCAGATTCTCTTCTTCCGTCCCTCCCGACACGTCATCCACCACGAGGAGGTCCCAGTGCCAGCCTGTCATCACCTCCTCGTGCTCCGGTACTATCAACAGGAGACAACAAACACACACTACATCCTCATGACTTTGATCCCTCGCTACATGATGATCTTTCGGAAATCCAATTATCTCAAAAATTAAAAAAAGATTCAAGTTCTAGATTTTCCGACACAAATCTCACTAAATTAAGTATAACAGAACCTAAGACCCATTTCCCCCTGCCATTATTAAAACCACATTCAAAGTTACGTTCCTCCAATACTAAACCATTTGAAGATCTAAGTAATAAACGTTCTGAGAATATTTCTACCCGTATACCGACGTTCTTCCCTCTGTCTGAGCTGGAGGAACGACCACAGAGCTTAAGTTCTATAAGAGAGTCTAACCAGCACTTACTTCCATCTAGAACTCAGTCTTTAAGTCTCTCACGACCCAAAGAACCTATCATTTTCCCTCCCTTCCCGACTAAGGTGACCCCAAGTGGCACTGATCTCCCCAACAACCTGGCATCTCGTTCAATCTTCCCCCCCACAGTGCCACTCACCCGCACTACAAAGGACGACGCCCCTCACACCTCCCTTCAGCGCCCTCTCACACCGCTTGAGTCTTCCCTCTCCAAGGATATCTCAAATCACCTTCCTGCTGGAGTAAGGACGACCCTCTTGCTTGATCTACGCCTCCGCCTTCGCCTGTACCTCGCTGTGGGTCACGGGATCCCTTCACTGCTCCTCTCTAAACTTACGTAAACTTCTCTGTCCCTACGAATCTACTCTTGTGGTTCCCGGCTCTGCTCAAACACGAGGCCAGCTCAAACACGAGGCCAGCTTAAACACGAGGCCAGTTTAAACACGAGGCCAGTTTAAACACGAGGCCAGTTTAAACACGAGGCCAGTTTAAACACGAGGCCAGTTTAAGAGAACGAATCTTCCCTTTGTAACTTTTTTTTTTAAAGAATTTCCCCAAACCTTTCATAGTTTATTCACGTCATTCGCGAATTTCTTCCATAACACGAAATAGATTCAAATACCCAGGTGCAGATGGTTAAAGCCCCCCGTTAGATAAATTTGTTCTCCCTTAGTTTCTCCCTTTCTCCCTTAGTTACGTGAATAGTGACGATTTTATCTCCCTGAGTTTATTCTCCCTCTGTCTCTCTGTCTTTCGCAACATTTCACAACTGAGGAATATATCTGAAAGTCCAACATTTATCTCCTTAAAGTCTCTCATTATCTCTCTACCTTCTCTCTATCTTCCTCTCATCTCAAGTTCTCTGTCTCTTTCATTTCTTCTCTCCCACTGCACTGTTCCCCTGGTCTCTTCAGAAAGCTTTCCTCATCATTCTCCTCCTTTATTCTTCAAAATTCTCTTCACTAGGATGAGACTTAACTGAGAATCGCTTAAGTAACACTCTCTCTCCCTGTCCCTTAAATCCTGTTTTTGAATACACTCAAAACTGGCCCTCAAACATTCACTCAAGGGGTAGGTTTAGTGATTACTGCTGGAGTGGTATGTTCCTTGTTGGGTTTTTGGTCTTATAACGAAATCTGTTGCGAATTTCGTTATATGTTTCGTTGAGAATAAGTGGAATTTCGTTGTGGGTTTAAGGTAATGTAATGACTAATGAAATTCGACTGGATTAACGAAATAATTAACGAAACTCGACTGGATTAACGAAATAATTAACGAAACTCGACTTGATTAACGAAATGATTAACGAAACTCGACTGGATTAACGAATTATATAAAGAAACTCAACTTGATTAACGAATTGAATAACGAAACTCGACTGGATGAACGAAATGATTAACGAGAACCGACTGAATTAACGAACTGTATAACGAAGTATTCACCTGTATCCAGATAAATGTACAAATTATAGTATATATTAATTTATCTTTATTCTGTAGGTATGTTTTTTAACTTTCTGTATTTTGTATTTTGTAATGGAATTAATTTATGTATACAAAAAATAAATAAAAAATGATTGGAAACTAAA